TATATTGTACATGTTTTCTAGTTTGCAAGTGAGAGGTTAATTCTCTAAATTCTACATTATTTTTAACCTTTTCGAATTCTTCTTAGCTTATTTGGTTATGTAAAATCCGGCCCAACAACTAAGAGAGAAAAACACCTGCTTTTATTATTAAAAGAAATATTAAAACATATTTCTAAAACCCATCCACTCCAAATACACTCTCTTCAAAACTTGCACGCGCAACCCATTACTACAACTCTCACTTAATAACACACAACAACTCAACTTCATGCTTACTTGCACGCATAACCCGTTACTACAACTCTCACTTATAACACACAACATCAATTCAACTTCATGCTTATGCGCACTAGCCCCTTTCATATGGCTAACCAACCCATTACATTTGCACTTCTCAAGCACGCCCTAAATGAAAGTTTGAAACACCCAAGCCCCTATTTATAGATCTTGTGACCGCCCTTCGATATGTTTCTTGAAGAACCTAGATGGAAAACCGCCTAAATTCCTTCTTTGCTAGGGAACAAAAGTCGGTTGTAGCTTCTTTTCTAGAACAAAAGTTGCTAAAGAACCGCCTAAATTCTTTCTTTGCCGAGGAACAATAGTCGGTTGTAGCTTCTTTTCTAGAAGAAAAGTTGCTAAAGAACCGCCTAAATTCTTTCTTTGCCGAGGAACAAAAGTCGGTTGTAGCTTATTTTCTAGATGGCCTCCTTTTGACTATTCTAGAGAAATGGAGGAGGAACAAGAGAGGGAGAGAGGATTGGTGAAATGTCTTGATGGAGAGCAACTGCATGTTGGTTTTTACAATTCTCTCCCTCAACATTGAGTTGCTTTGATCATCATTTTAGTATTTTTTTTTCCTCTTTTTCTTTTTCTTTATTTTCTTGTTGTTTTTGGGACCATCAATCTCTTCTCGCAGTGCAGCCTGCCCTTCAACGACTTCCTTTTCCTCATCAAATCAAGCTGGTTCTTTCACTTTAAAAATGCTAGATATATCACACTACACAAGTGACATTTCATGTTCATAGGTTGCTTCTACGTACTTTGGATTTGGTTTTTAAGTATGTAAAAACCTCTGCAGTCACATTTTGTTGTCTTCACTTTTTTTAATATATTATGGTTGTGATGGTTGCAACTCCTCCAGTGTAAGAGTAACTTGCGACTTACTTTTCGCATCATCACCCAACGTCATGGGTGACAACTGCAACTCACTTTTCACATCATCACCCAACGTCATTGGTGACAACTGCTGCTTCTCAGCAAAATTCAAGAGTCATGACAGATATTGTTACCTACGACATCATCACTTACTTGACCAGTGATGCTTTTTCCAACGTCACATGCAATCCCTACAGACAACTGCTTAACTATTTGTGTCCATGCATGATATGGTCACCTTCAATTTTCACTCGCACGTCCTCTCCTGTATGAGGCTCGACTTCATCTATCTCCAACTGGGTAAGAGCAAGGGATTTTTTCCCCTCATGGTGAACTTCAATTGATGTTGTGTCCACGACCTATGCAAACCTGTCACGATCATCATCTTGTGACTCTAGTTGTGCATCATCGTCCGCAAGTTCCTCGGATTCCTCCAATCGTCTTAGTTTGACTGATTCATCAGCTAGTAACTGCTGTCTAGTGGAGCTTCCTGCATTGGCCGATCGATAGTAAGCAAATTTCGAACTTATCAGTTTTGTCTTTTCAGCTACTGCAAAAGATATCTAAGCATCCCATTCTTCTTCGATCTCGAACTAGTGACATGTCGCAGCCACCATATTTCCTTCAGCGGACCTCCTTTCCTTCAGCTGACCTCCTTTTCTTTGACCAGCTGTCACGAGCAATGTGGCCTTTTGTGCCACAATTGTAGCACTCGACATCTCGTCAGGATCTCCATGGCCTTTGGTCTGCGCTAGTGTTGCATCATCTAGCTCCCCCTTGTTGGACCTCTCTCCTTCGGCTGGTCTCGACAGTCTCTCCTTTTTACTTCCGTGCAAATAGTGCCTCCTCTTCATCTTTCACAGATATGCTGGCCGCAGGCCATTTGTCTGGCCAGCGTCTTTGGTTCATCAACAGACTTTCTAAATCCAGAAGAGTTGGTTTTTTTTGCCATCCTCTGATGGTTGTCATCTTCGGATTTCAAGCCTCTACAAGATCTGCTCTATTATTTCTCAGTTCAAAACTGTTTTCATTGAAATTGAGTGCTCAAAATCAAGATTTGTATTTGAAAAACGGATCTCAGATCTGTAACATATTTCCTAGGATATGAGTTGTCATCCACAATTTTGATGGGGATTTCTCTTCAGACAATGTTAGCAAGTATCTATAATAGTGATTTCAGCATTTTTACATAATTTTTGTTATTATTTTGCATGTTTTATGTAATCTCAAATTTTAGCAACTGATAAGTGAATTTTTAAACAATTACAAATTTTAGTAAGGTTCTAATTGGTGAATTTAATATATATATACACGGTTAGCGAATTTTGTATTTTTAATCAGAAATGGCCATGGTTTGAAACACTCTACTATGCTCCATCTAGAGTATATTTTCTACTCCCTTGGTTAGAAGACTTATTTGGAAGGATTTCAATCTAAAATTTTGAGAACCACTTAAAAATTACTAGATGACAATTCTCTTAAAAAAAAAAGATTATTTATTTTTAACAATTAGATATCTCCATCTAAACACTGGACTGTATCTATTCAATTTTGAGATATAATTACGAAATTCTTCTTATTGAGGATTTATCTGTGGGTTGAAAATGTTTCAAAATAGTTTTTTGGCTTGATTTAAATTACTCTAGCAAAATAATTGCGTTTAGGAACTTGAACAATTATTCCATCTGACAATCTCATTTTATTCCTTTATAAAGCTCAAAAACTAGGTGCATTTTAAAAAACCATTTTATGTTTAAAACCTAGGTAAAACTTGGTTTCCTCCCATCCAACACCTGCTCTCGTACTTGATTTGCAACATTCATAAGATATATATGTTAAAGAAGTTATCAATAGGCATGATTATGAACTTAATCCTACACATAACCTGATATTAATGTGGTAAAAAATTGCCAACAAGCATCCCTTTGCGTTGTCTTGACCAACTGTTCCTTGTTAGGTAAAAGCAAACCATCAGGCACTTTTTTATAACATTCTTAGGTTATTGTTAATTGTTTTCTTGTACTCTAGGTTCAAGTATTTAGTTCAAGTGAAAGACTACAAAAGGAAACGGTTAGGGCCTAAAAGTGTATGATTCGAAATAGTGAGAAAAAATATAGGGACTTATGGCCCTATTAAAAGCTTTGCCCTTAATAGAGTAGAACGATATACCCCAATTAGTTGACAAAAAGTTTTGACGATGATGATAATTACTCCAGGTTCAATTATGATGACCAAGCATGAGTACCAATTGTTTCATGCAATCAAATTTTATTATGAAAAGAGAAGAAAAAGAAGGCCTTATTCTCTCATTCAGAACAAGTTTTAAATCAAGATTTTAAATGACTTTCTAAGTGCCCATGGGTTGTTTGGCTTTAAAAATGAAGAATGCAAAGTTTTGAAAAAAATAAAACGAACGGTTTCTATATTTCCTTTACAGCATAGAAGATCTATGCTTCTTCTACCATCCAACCATCCAATTTTGATCAAGACAAACCACGCACAGTTTGATCTTAGATCCGATGTCTCAAAGTATTTTATTTTTAGTTTTTTTTATACAAATTGTATGAATATGAAATTGGGTATGTGTCATCTTCTCATTGGGGCGCGCCTATAAAAAATATTAAAAATAAGTTTTCTATAAAATTTAATGACCAAAATACCCCTTAAAACTTTTAGAGGTATATGTTGTTTCGATACTAGGCAGCTTTGTGATGACTTGAAAAATTATTTCTATTTGTAATTATAAAAATTTAAAGCTTCAAAAATAGTATAGATCAAGCAGATCTATGAACACTTGAAAAACTTGAAAATTGACAGTAAAAAAATGCAGTAAGACACAATATTTCCAATGCTAAAAATCTTTTCTATTTTTAATTTCATTTTCATATTTTGAGGTTTAGATGATTAGTTTGAGGATTTTTGGGCATTAAAACAACCTCTTATAGTGAATTTTTGAGGTGCACCTTAATTTGATTGTTTAGAGTCTAGCTGATGTAGGTCAAGATGATATGGATTCAATATTTTTATATTTTTCAAATTTTAGGGAATTAATTATTTTTATTTTATTAGAGTCGAATTTTTATTTTTATTAG